GCCAAAGTATTGGAGTTTAGCTTCAGCATCAGTCCTTCCAATGAATATTCAGGACTGATTTCCTTTAGGATGGACAGGTTGGATCTCCTTGCAGTCTAGTTAATCTTTGCTACTGATGGATGTTCTCTGTCCACAGGTAGAATGATAATAGAAATTTCTTCCTGTTTTTCCCCTCTTTCCCCTATTAACTATTATCTCCTTGACACAAGAACTATACTTTGAGTCCAGCTGAATTTTTATTGAATTTTCCTTTAAGTACTGTCTTTTTTGAAACGTTTCTCTTCATTTTCTTCAGGGACCGGCAGGTAGCTGGATTTTGAAAGTATCTTCTGCCCAGATAACGTGTTATCAGAGGCCACAAAAATAGTGCATAAATGGTGGGCTAGGCAGACTTCATAGGTATCTGAGGCTCAGCACTAAAATTTAAAATCATGATTTAGTTTCATAACCGAAACCCTAGTTTCTCTCTGGCTGAAGTTTGCAGTTGTCTTGAAATTTTATCAATCATAAATCGATTATCGCATCTGAGGTGAAGGGAGAAAAATGAAATAAAGTTATCACGAGAGTCCCCTTCAGACGCTGGCGCGGGAAAGCCAGAAGACAGAAGGTGAGCAAACTGATCTCAGATTTGGTTACTACTCCTGGGGCTTTCTGGATAGAAGAGAATCCAGTGTATAAACCACGACAAGCCTTGTGCTCAGTGTTTATGAGCTTTGGAGCTCTTTGTGCATTTCTCCTACCAACAGAACTTCACATTGTGCAAAACACACTTAACCAGGCTTTTTATTTTTTTAATTTAAAAATATCTGTATTTTAAAATTTTGGCTGCACTGGGTCTCTGCGGCAGTGTGTGCAGTATAAGGGCTTCTCTTTTTGCGGCACCAGGACCCTGGAGCACAGACTCTCTAATTGTGGCGTGGGCTTAATTGCCCTGAATCATGTGGGATCTTAGTTCCCAGACCAGGGACCAAACCTACATCCCCTCTATTGGAAGGTGGATTCTTAACCACTGGACCACCAGGGAAGTCCCCATTTAATCAATTTGGGTGGGCATTTTTGCTTGTTTTGCTTGTTTGTTTGAGTTGAAGTTTTAGGAATTTGATTTTTTATATGCAAAGGTTCCTTTGATGTTCGTTACGGTAAAGTTTTAGCTTCATTTATAGGAAGAGATTAGAGAAGGAACTGGCAACCCACTCCAGTATTCTTGCCTGGAAAATCCCATGGACAGAGAAGACTGGTGGGCTACAGTCCATAGGGGTCGCAAATGAGTCAGAAACGACTGAATTTGACTCAACAATGACTTAGGAAGGGCTGGCTGGCTGCAGCAATACCATGGGAGCTACAGCAGTGGGTGTTGACTTGTAAGTTGACAGTCATCTTGGCTGTGCCCCTGGGCAGTCAGTGTTTCAACTGCTCACTCAGTGCTAAGAACAGAAACAGTAATAGTATGTGCACATCTTAAGAAGAGACTTGCCTGGAATTGGTCTGTGTGATGGTAGGGGCTAGCATGACTAGTTGGAAATCCGCAGGGCAGGCCGCAAGGATGATGGGAAACTGAAAATTCAGACAAGAGCTGACCTTGCAATTCACAGGCTGAAGTTCTTTTTTTTTTTTTAATGGAAACCTCAGTTCAGCTCCTATAATCTTATCTCCATATCTATACTTTTGTCTCTGCTTTAATGAGTTTTTTTTTTTTTCCATCCCCAGTCCCTCAGGACTTCCCTTCCTTAATGGATATCTGAAATATCTCTTTGTGTTTGTTTAATCTTCCTGGTGGGAATGGTCTCTTTCAAGCTTGATCTCAGTGCCATTTGATTGTTTACTTATTATCTTCACACCCAGAATAGAAATTTGACAAGAGTTTTGCATTGACCAAAAAGCTCACACAGGTTTTTCTGTAGTTGGTACAAAAACCTGAATGGACTTTTTGGCTAACAAGAGACGTGGGTTCAGTCCTTGGGCTGGGAAGATCCCCTGGAGGAGGGCATGGCAACCCACTCCAATATTCTCACCTAGAGAATCCCATGGACAGAGGAGCCTGGCGGGCTACAGTCCCTGGGGCTTCAGAGACTTGAACACGACAGAATGACTAAGCACACATGCGTAAGGTATGTTCAGGTAATACTTGGTGCAAAATGAATGAGTGAGTGCAATTTATCTAGAGGGGAAAAATACATGTACAACGTAACAGTGCTTCAGCTTCTCTGGCTCAATTATCATGTTTTCAGACTTTCATTCTAAATGTTCTGTTCTGTTGACAAGTAGCTATTAGTTCCCAATTTAATATCAATGTAAAGCAAATCATCTGTATTTAAAAGGGAAGAAAAATAATACTTATCACATAGATTGTTGAGAAAGTTAAGGTAGCGCTATAATTACACGTGCCATCTCTCTTTATTCTTATTCTGCTTGTTTCCTAAAACTATAGCTCAGAGGAATGTGAACTCTGCACCCTGGTCTCTGTCAAAAGTGAACTGTGAAAAGATAAAATGGGTAGGACCAGAATTTCAAGAAAGATCTGAATTGATGGGAAAGTTTGGAGTATCCCTGAATAACTCATTTGGAAAATAAACACTTGCTCTATCAAAAAATATACATTTTAGTGACTTCCGTGGTGATCCAATGGTTAAGACTCCATGCTTCCAATGCAGGAGGCATGAACTTGACCACTGCTTGGAGAACTAAGATCCCACGTGCCACAACTGAGGGTTCACATGCTATAACTAAAAAGATTCAGTGTCCAAAAAAAAGTTGAAGTAAAAAAATTGTATATACATATATATATATATACACACACACACACACACACACTCTAAGACTCATTGGATTTGACTGTGTGAATCCTCAGTACTTTCCCTTTGGCTATTCTGAGAGTCAAGCTTCATGTCCCTCATCCCTTTTTGCTTGCTCTGTCATTATTGGTCACATGACGAACTCTGGTGCATTGCACTGTTTTTTTTTTTTGTTTTTTTTTTGCACTGTGTTCTTTAAGAGGTGTTCATCCAGTCCTTGGGGTTGCAGAAGAGTCTGATATGACTTAGTGACCAAATAGCAGCAGGTTGGTGGTGCCAAGTGCCCCAGTGGTGAAACCACAGGAGAAACAATCAAAGAAATTATCAATGTTTATCAGGTGAGAAAAGAAGAGGACTCATGGCTGGGAGGAAGGAGAAGGGATAGGAACTCTTTCTTAAGGGTTGGAAGGGTCATCATGTCAATGGAGTCTTCTCTTTTTTTTTTTTTTTTAATGAATTCCAGAGTAGAAGTTAAAAGGCTATCAATTTTAGCTCAGGTTCGTTATTGTTGTTGCTGTTTAGTCACTAAGTGTATTCAACTCTGCTGTGACCCCATGGACAGTAGCCCACTAGGCGCCTCTGTCCATGGAATTTCCCAGACAAGAATACTGAAGTAGGTTGCTACTTTCTCCACTCAGGGAATCTTCCTGACCCAGAGATGAAACCCATGTCTCCTGCATTGCAGGCTACATCTTTACCACTGAGCCTCTTGGGAAGCCCCTTAGCTCAGGATAAAGAACCAAGAAGTATGGCCTGGTGCATAGTGCAGGAATTAAACTTTCAAGCACCAATGGTGTTGATCTGATCCTGGTCTCGCAACTTGCTAGCTCCTTGAACTTGAGCATGTATGCACTAGGCACTCCTATAAACATGTTTGATGTATTGACTCATTTAATCCACACAACTTTTTGAGATAGATGTTACACACTCACACACACAAATGCTATTTATTGTGTGACTTTACAGATGTGGAGACATTAGGTAACTCACCTCAAGTCACCCAGCTCATAGGTGGTAGATCTGCAGTTTCCCATTGGTGCTTGCTGGCACTAGAGCTACCGATTGCCAGCTCTGTGAATACATAACTGAACCTTTAGTGTGTTGTGTAGATATAGGGCTGTCGACTTTACATGTAAATCCATGGTTAATTCATTTCAATGTATGACAAAAACCACTGCAATGTTGTAAAGTAATTAGCCTCCAACTAATAAAAATAAATGGGGAAGAAAAAAAAGAAATGCAAATGTGACAGCTTGGAGTTAAGTTTCATTTGGGGCAAAATGAAGCCGGCAGTGCAGGAAACAGTGCCTCAAATAGCTCTGAGAAACCGCTTCAAAGCAGGGAGGAGGAGGGTAAAGGTCAATATATGTGATTTTGATGAAGAGGGAATTCACACAATCAAGCATTTATCTTTGCCAGAGATTTCTGCTAGTCATGAGGAGCTGATGTCACTATGAAGGGATTAAGTGCTTTTTTGGATATGTGCTCAATCACTTCAGTCATGTTGGACTCTTTGCAATCCCATGGACTGTAGCCCACCAGGCTTCTCTATCCATGAGATACTCCAGGCAAGAATACTGGAGTGGGTTGTCATGCCCTCCTCCATGGGATCTTCTCCACCCAGGGATCAGACCTGTGTCTCCTGTGTCACCTGCATTGCAGGTGAATTCTTTACCACTGAGCCACCAGGGAAGAAGCCCTTTCTAGATATGAGGAGATGAAAAGATTGGGTTCATAAAATCAGTTTCTGAAAATAACTATCTGAAGACCTTTCCTGCCAGTTCCCTCTCGCCCCTAGCACAGAGTCCCTCATTCCTGGTCTCCACCCTGCACTCCTTTCAGGGGATGTTGAAGGTCAGCAGCTGCAATATCACGTGAGTTAATCCTTGTAGAAGTAGATGACAAGTGCCCGTAGCAAGTGCCAATTTGTAGTGGACAGGACATTCTTAAAACCATCAGAAGAAGTACCCCTGGCTACTGTTTTTCTAGTAAAGGGATTGGTTTGTTGGTTGAAAGCTTTTTTTGAATTTTCAAAACATGCGTTTCCAACCATACCACCATGAGGCTTCTTTTCTTCTTTTTACTAAGTTTCTTTGAAAGTCTTTTGGAGGAGAAAGAAAAATGTGATTTCCAGGGTGTGATTATATTGTTACCTTTGAGAATCTGTCTTTCAGGCTAAAGAATGGTCTCATGTCTTTGTGTTATTAGGAAGTGTATACTTTGCCAATGAACCTTGGCTTCCGTTAACACCAGAAACCAGTCAAGCATTGTCAGCCTGGGACCGGATTTTTTCATTCTTGGAGAGAAATAAATAAAACACGATTGCTTGCCCTGCAAGAGAGCGCCTGCCAACTTCCTCTGCAATAATTAAGTTTGCAGGCTTCACTATCAGCCTGACCAGACACTAATGAGATGCTAAAGTGTTCAAAGAAGTTTCATTAACATTTTAAAGCTTTCCCTGCCCTAGGGAAGCATCTTGTTTTCAAACATGGTCTCTGACGGGTAAAGTAAGGCAGAGTGTCTTCTGATGGATGGGCTGTCAGAGGAAATCTAATGTGACCAGCTGCTTGCTCAGAAATGGAAAGGAAATTGATCAATAGTAGGACTTGACATCACCTCTAGGGAGTGTCAGCAGCATCCATCCAGTAGCTGCAACTCCTGGATGCAGTGACTACCCAAGAGGTAAGTGGTGGGGCTGGAACTTGAACCCAAGCTTAGGGTATCCTGCTCTTTGTGCTCGTAGCGATTCTCTTTTTGTTGCTGTTCAGTCGCTCAGTCGTATCCGGTTTTTTGGGACGCCATGGACTACAGCATGCCAGGCTTCCCTGTCCTTCGTCTCCCGGAGCTTGCTCAAACTCATGTCCTTTGAGTTGGTGATGCCATCCAACCGTCTCATCCTCTGTTGTCCCCTTCTCCTCCTGCATCTTTCCCAGCATCTCCTCTTGCATCTCCCCTTCTCTTTCCCAGCATCAGGGTCTTTTCCAATGAGTCGACTCGACATCAGGTCATTTTGCCTCTAATACAGAAAAGTAGATTCCTCTCTTGGCCACTGACTCCAGGACCTTCAGCAAGTCAATTCAACTCTAAAGAATCTTAGCTTTTCCTCTTAACAGAAAAAGTAAGCTCACGCTACCTCGCAGGCCCTATTGTTCTATGAATATGATATAGTATCATTATTTATCACACGGTCAATCAGCAAGAGTCCATTCTTTCATGTGCTCCTTGAGGCAAAATGGGCAACAGCAGTGAGTAAGGCATTTTGTATAACTGACAATTTGTCAAATGCAAATCGTGAAGCAGATGTAAACACTATTATTACCATCATTGCTGCTCCTGAAATTAATTCAGAGGGTTCACTGGTCGTGTCTCTCAGTTCAGTTCAGTTGCTCAGTCGTGTCCGACTCTGTGATACCATGGATTGCAGCATGCCAGGCTTCCCTGTCCATCACTGACTCCCGGAACTTGCTCAAACTCATGTCCATCGAGTTGGTGATGCCATCCAACCATCTCATCCTCTGTCATCCCCTTCTCCTGCCTTCAATCTTCCCCAGCATCAGGGTCTTTTCAAATGAGTCAGTTCTTTGCATCAGGTGGCCCAAGTATTGGAGTTTCAGCTTCAGTGTCAGTCCTTCCAATGAATATTCAGGACTGATCTCCTTTAGGATGGACTGGCTGGATTTCCTTGCTGTCCAAGGGACTCTCAAAAGTCTTCTCTAATACCACAGTTCAAAAGCATCGATTCTTCTGCACTCAGCTTTCTTTATAGTCCAACTCTCACATCCATACATGACTACTGGAAAAACCATAGCTTTGACTAGATGGACCTTTGTTGNCACCAGTGATCTTTGATTGAATGGTCAGTGTCAACTTGCCAGGTCTGTGGGTGAGACCAAGGTGGGGGTAGACCCTGCAATGCCAGCTGGCTCCACACTGGGTTGCCTTGCAGATCAGAGATTCCCACCAGAAGCTGCCCAATCTGCCAAAGAGTGAGCACATAAACAAGAGTTCTATATTAAGTCACTAAACACTGGGGTGGTTATATGGTGACAGACAATGAAACAGCTGAGTAATAAATTCTTTGTGGCTGTCTGGAAATGGTTGGGATTTGGTGAGTTCTGACTGGCTGGATTCACTTACAGTCTCAGCCTCAGTCAGTGACACACATTCACAAGAGTAACTTTGACAACAAATAGATGCTACATGTTTGTATTTCCCACAGTGAAAAACAAGTCTGGTAGGTAGGGTCAGAAGGCTTGCTTTTGGGTTGGATGTGAGGATGACAGGAACGAATCAGTTCAAGATGACTCCTAGGTTTTTGATCTAGGCAACTGGGTGGATGGTGGTGCCACTAAAGGTGACTAAGAAAGGTTGTGGAACAGTGAGCTGTGCCAGGGTGGGGGTCGGGGCATCAAGCATTTCCTGCTGTTTATGCTGAGTTTGAGGTGCCTATTAGGCAGCCCCAGCCTGCGTGCCTGCTAAGTCACTTTGGTGGTATCTAACTCTTTGTGACCCTATGGATTACAGCCTGCCAGGCTCCCCTGTTCATGGGATTCTCCAGGCAAGTATACTGGGGTGGGTTGCCATGCCCTCCTCCAGGGGATCTTCCTGACCCAGGGATTGAACCCATGTCTCTCATGTCTCCTGCAATGGCAGGTGGGTTCTTTAGCACTGGCACAACCTGGGAAGCCCTCAAGTCATGTAGTGCAGCCAAAAACAAACAAATAAACAAACACCTAAACTAGAAAGCATTGTCCAGATGTGTTGAGGACCAAAGGGGCCATAGCTTAGCTTAGCCCTTAATAGGCTCCTTTTAACTTGAAAAGATGCTAATAAGTCACAGCATTAAGGCTGTCAAATTCTCCCTTTGTCACCATTGTTCTAACACAAAGTGACACTTGGAATTCTGTGGCCAGACTGTCCTGCAGTTGCTTGGTTCCAACCTCTCAACCTCGTCTTAACCATGGCACATAAAGCTTGTCAGTCCTTGGGGGCCCCTTCTGCGTGGAGGTTGGCTTTACCTCTTGGCTCTGTCTCAGAAAGCTGATCTTTCCATAAAAGAACTCACCAGTGGACTGCCTGCTTTTGCGAAGGAGAGAGTGAGGTATATCTAAAGATGTGTGCCGGAAACTCAAGTTTTCACAACTCAGGGATCCCCCTAGTGGACAGTAAACAAAGCAGTGGCCTGGCCCTTTGCCTGGTGAGGCCTAGATGGGTAGGCAGCTCCCAGGCAGGTGGCCTGAAGACCAAGGAGGACATTTGTGCTCTTTTCCAGTTCCAGGAGGGACCTGATCCCTCCTTCTCTCTGCTTGCCTCCAGGAGTCCAGGAGGTTTTTATGTTTACTCCTTTCTGCCCTTGGATCCTCTTTTTTTAAATATTAGTACTTTTAAAATAATTTTTAGTTATTTGTTTTATTTTTGGCTATGCCGAGTCTTCATTGCTGCTTGGGCTTTGCTCTAGTTGTGACAAGTGGCAGCTACTCTCTAGTTGCGGTGCCCGGGCTTCTCACTGAAGTGGTTTCTCTTGTTGCAGAGCACAGGCTCGAGGATGTACAGGCTTCAGTAGTTGTGGTTCCCAGGATCTAGAACACAGGCTCAAGTTGCTGTGGTGCATGGGCTTAGTTGCTCCACAGCATGTGGCATCTTCCCGGGTCAGGATCAAACCCGTGTCTCCTACCTTGGCAGGCAGATTCTTTATCACTGAGCCACCAGGGAAGAGCTGGAACCTGTTTTTGTTTTTAAAATCAGGTTATGTAAACATTCAAAATCCATTCCCCATCATCCATCCACCACCCAACCCCTTGGCCTTTCTGCTTCTTCTTTAATCCTATGCCCCTGTTTTAATCTCACCATCAAATACTCCATTCCTTTCTATTTTATACTGGTCGTGATGCATTTCAAGCAGTCTTGGAACTGTGGTTATACATCAGTGGATACCCTGCATAGACAGCCATACAGCAGAGTATGGAATCTGAAGTCACATGACATAGATTCAAATCCAGGTTCTACTACACCTTCTGTGGCCTTGGGCTAGTTGTCTCATCTGTTCAAAGCTTGGTTTCTTTCTTATATTTAATTTGTAGTGTATATTGGAGTATAGTTGATTTACAATATTGTGTTAGTTTCAGGTGTTCAGCTAAGTAGTTCAGAAACACATATACATCTATCCATTCTTTTTCAGGTTCTTTTCCGATATAGGTTATTACAGAACTTTGAGTAGAGTTTCGTGTGCTCCACAGTAAGTCCCCTACCTACTAATGTTCAAGTTGCAAGCTTCCAAAGATGTGAATATGCATTCACATGTTCAGTCATGTCAGTTAGTTCATGTGTCTGACATATATTGTCACGTGTGTGTCTTCTACCAGGGGTTGTGCTGTAGTGTACTTTGCTATCCTAGTACTGTCTAGAGTACAGTCTACAGTGATTTCATTTCAAGCCCAGAATGTCATCTATGATAAAAAAAAAAAAAAAGAGCCACTACCCAGACATCACTAGATTGTTTTTTTCAAGAGGGTACTGTGCTCGGTTGTGTCTGACTCTTTGTGACCCCATGGACTGTGTCCCACCAGACTCCTCTGTCCATGAGGATTCTCCAACAAAAATACTGTAGTGAGATGCCGTGCCCTCCTCCAAGGGATCTTCCAACCCAGGGATCAAACCCAGGCCTCTTGCATTGCAGGCAGATTCTTTACCATCTGAGACAAGAGGGTAGATAGAATGGAATCGAGCAAGGAACCAGAACCTGTGCCATCAACATCAGGCATAAGTGACATTGCAGTTGCCCTCCATCTCCTATTGCTGACGATTCTTCAGCTCCAGCATCTCTCACCTCCTCTCCTCCTCCAGTCAGTCACTCTTTTTGCCTGTTCACAGGATGCCAGCCCCTGTTCACCAGCTGTTGTACTGTGCTACTGTGCTTTTCAAGGCAGTCTACTGTAAGATTAGAAATGCTTTATTTTTTGTGTTTGTTTCTTATGTATTATTTGTGTGAAAAGTGTTATAAACCTATCATAGTACAGTACTATATAGCCAACTGTGTTAGTTGGGTACCTAGGCTAACTTTGTTGGACCTATGGACAAATCTGACTTATGAACATGCTCTCATAGCATAGCTTATTCAAATGTAGAGGGGACTTACTGTACAATTTGTCCTTACCTTGGTTTCTTAACCTTTTCAAAATACTCATTCTATGCAGTGAAAGTGTCATTTGGTTTGTTCTAGAAGGAAATGGCAAGCCACTCCACTGTTCTTGCCTGGAGAATCCCAGGGACGGGGGAGCCTGGTGGGCTGCCGTCTATGGGGTCGCACAGAGTCGGACACGACTGACGTGACTTAGCGGCAGCAGCAGGGCCAATATGAGATTTTCCAAAGTTCCCGAGTTTTTTCAGATAATCTTTTAACCAGAAAGGTGAGCGTGAACAACTGAATTTACTGAGTGATTCCCAGGCACCCAGTTCTTTCAAGTGATGGATACAGCAATCATTTAGGATATAAGTGATTTTATCTCCATTTCACTTCGAAGAAAAGCTATGACAAACCTAGAAAGTGTATTAAAAAGCAGAGGCATTACTTAAAGGTCTGTATAGTCAAAGCTATGGTTTTTCCAGTAGTTATGTACGGATGTGAGAGTTGGACGATAAAGGAGGCTGAGCACTAAAGTATTGATGCTTTCAAACTG